GGGGAAAATCAGGGTAAAAGTGTTATGCAACTGTTGAGCGTGCACTGCTGGTTATAGTCTTCTGGTTGTTAGAAGATGGGTCACAGCAGTAACTTAGTGTTTCTGCCAAAAGCAGACAGTAAAGGCCGATTATTGAAATATTAATTAAAATCAGCCCCCCAACATTTCATGATATTATAGGGATTGTGGTATAAATAAACTAGGCAAAGCCCAGCGAAGGCAGGGTGGGAAGGGCCAGAGCAGAGACCAGGCACACGCAGACCTGTGCTGGGCTGGAAGGGACTCCCGTGGCCAGCTCTTGCCCATGCTGGATATATTCTGCTGGCATGTTGGCATTCGTGATGGTGTGAGGAGCAACTTCACGCTAGCGTGATGCCTCGAGCAAGTGGAGAACAGCAGCCAGCCCTTTCAGGGAGTGGTGGGACAGGGAAGGCAGGCTCTGGGGGGAATTCCTGAGGGAATAAAGGGCGCTGGGTGCAGAGCAGGCGGCCTCAATAAGTGCTGTAATAACTGCCTTGTCTTTTGCGTGTGCATATTTTAAGGAAGACAACGACCTGGAAGACATCGACAGCCTGCTGGAGAAGATTGAGGATACCAATGGGCTGTCACAGCAGACCCAGAGCGGAATAATCACTGACAACAGGCCTCTGCTCTACGTAGAGCACAGGTAGTGCTTGCTTTCCTTCAGGGTTTTGGCCTTGGCTGTGACAGGGCTATCTGTTCCCCCGAGGAAGGGAGATGGGGGCCTCCCAGTGTGATCTGGTTGTGAATTCAGGATCTTGCTTGGAAGGAGTTGTGGTAGCGGTTGTGCACCACCCCGTTTCTAACCGTTGCTCTTGGAGCCGTGTTTGGTTTTAGCGGTGACGGTATTCTCTGCTGTCCTGCCTGGCTTGAGTGGGCATCTGGGCCGGGTTAACCTCCAGAGGTGCCTTCCAGCCTAAAACACTCCACGACTCTGTAGGAGAACCTCTGCAGAGCTGCTGGCAGCCCTGGGCCGTGGCGCTTTGCAGTCGCACTGTCCTGGCTGGGTGACTGCGTGCTGTGAGCAGCAGGCCCCTGTACAGCATGTGCCGTCCTCCGAGGAGGGCTGAGCAGTGCCAGGAGCTAATTTCACCAGTAAAACTGGTTAGACTTGTCTAACCTTTCCTGCGTGTCACCGTTGACAAAGTGGACTAATTGTGTCCAAGAGCTGAGGAATGAGTCGGCCTCAGACTGGAGACTGTTGGGAATGGGCTGGCTGCTGGGTCCAGCGTGGTGCGGAGCCCTGGGCTGGTGCAGACACTTCCAGCTCCTCCTGCTTCTGGAGAAAACGTTTAAACTTGTAGCTGGGGCTTCAGTCCGGGTTTTGAAACATCAAAACTGAGTCTAGGCTGGTGGGTGCTCGGTTCTAGTGCAGCCTGTTTGGGGACGCTTCCGTAAATCAGGGATGTTTGTTTATCCAGAGGTGGTTTTAAGCCTCAATGGCATCTCCGGTCAAGTAAACATTGTTCAGAAACCTCTGAGAGCCAGATAATGTCTGAGTGGGTGAGGGTTGGCAGTGCTGGATCTCAGCCTTCCTGCTCCCTCTCTTCAAGCCCTGCTCGCTGGATGGCAGAGAGAAACCCCTCTCAGATAACGCCTCCGTTCTCTGTGCCAAACGTTAGATGAAGAAAACTGTAGGTGTTGTCGTGCTTTGATATAAGATCTTTGTATTAAAAAAAAAAAGTATTTTAATCCTTGCCAGTCTCCATGCAGGGATTATGGTGCTTGCCCCGAATTGCTGCCAGTGCTAGGCTCAGCAGCGGGGATCTCGTGTTTTCCAGGCATGCCTACCCCAAGCGTGCGCTCCTGAACGGCGGCAGAGTATCCCAGAGGAAGCTCCAGCTGCCCTGGAGAGGGCAGCAGCAGTATTCCCCAGCTTGGCACTGTTTAGGAGCAGAGCACGAAGGAAGCGGGTTTCCATGCCTCCTGTTCTGACTGGGTTTAGTCTCCTTTCTGTGTTGTGTCAGATTTGGGGGGGGGCAGGACAGTTTGGGGGCTTGGCCAGAGCCAGTTCAAGGTACAGAGCACTTGGCGGTGACGAAAAGGACTCGAGTGTGAGACTTTGGGCCATGTTTAACTGACAGTAGCCTTTCTTTCTTGTTTAAACCTTCTCAGAAACTTGAATCCAGAGAACGAGTTGAAAAGATACTTCGGGGCTCGTGCTGTTCTTGGTGATCAGAGGTTAGTCCAGAATTTAATATTAAACCCTTTCAGAGTCCAAGTCAGTGTGTCCATCCTTCCCTTGGTATGGCTTACCAAGCTCGCAGTGCCACACGGGGGCAGGGAACAGCGGCACCTGAACGTGTTCAGGGTGTCTTGTTCATTTATCAGTCACTTTTTGGGACAGGAGAATATTTTTTTGTGATACGCGTGAGGCGGGGGAGTAAGCATTTGCTTTTTCTTCTCTTGATTTCCCCTGTCATTTACTGTCAAATGCCCTTCTAAAGTCCTTTCACTCAAATTCATAGAATATAGACTCTTGGAATTTTTTTCTCTTCCTCCAGCATTTGTTGCTCGTTGCTGTTCCAAAGTCTGTAATGTCTGTGTTACAGAGCGGACCCTGAATACTTTGCAGGGGCCCGGGGAACCCGCTGCTCCTTGGGTGTGAGGTCTCTGTGCAGTTACCCATTGCACTGTGGCCGGTGTGATCCAGAAATCCCTGCTTTCCTGAGCTGCTTGAAAAACGCACACCTGAGAAGGGTGTAAGCCCAGAGCAGTGATGGTGGAAGCGAAAGCTTTCTCTGAGACTGTCTGTGGAAGAATATTTAGTGCTTGAGGAAAGAGAAGTAGTCCCTTACTGGGGAGACAAGACTTTCTTAGAGTAGCCTTGATTTCTCAATTCCTCCTGCCCTGAACCAATAAATTGGTTACGTTTGTGAGTATGGCTTAAACTAAATCGGTTGACATTTGAAGGCACTGTTGGGAAGAGAGATGAGTCAGAGGGGTGTGGGGCTCTATTAATTGGACCTGGGAAGCTGTTTGAAGCAAAGAGGCAGCTGAGGACTTAGCAGGAATAAAAACAGGGGAAAGAAGCTATTAAAGTAGAAATGCTGGAGGCACCGGCTGGCCCGAAGAGGACTGGTTCAAGTAAGCCAGAGCCTGAGCCAAGGTATGTTGTGTCTTGAAGGCGAGCATGGTGAAGCTCTGGGCAAAAGCTCCATGCGGCAGGGCTGCAGGTGGGGACGAAGTTGGATGTCTTTTTCCCTGAATCATCCTTTTTCTGGCTGGTGTTAGCCCTCCTCATTCTGTTAGTACAGAGAAACTGTGACCCGTCGTGGTTTATTTCCTCAGGCCGAGGCAAAGGCAGCGCCAGAATGTCCGCGGCACGTGGCTGACGACTCCGAAGGACACCTGGCCGCGCTACAGCAAGACAGGTGAGGCTTTTGGTGCCGCCTCCAGAAGTGCCGTGCTGCCGCTCACGGATGGGGCACGTCAGTCCCATGCCCGCGTCGGCACAGACGGCTGCTCCTGCCAGCCCGGCTTTCTGAGAGCCTCTGCATGCGGAAACCGGAGCTGCTTTTGTCAGCTGCCAGGCCCAGGCTTCACGCTGGCTGATGCAGAAAGGGGACTGCTCATCAGCTGATGAAAATACCTCCTTTCTCACCAGGGAGAACTCTGTCCTGTTGTATCTTAGTGTTTGAGCTTTTTTTTTTCCCCTGGAGGCAGCAGGTGATGAGTACTTCCCTTCTTAGCAGCGGTCTCGCTGGATAATGAGAAATATCCGTGGGGAGAGAGCCGCCTGGGCTTCTTGGGTGGGTTTCAGACTTCGACTCACGAGAGGGAGGGAAAGGAGTGAAATTCTCTGGGAGTTTCTGAATACACGTCTGGGTTTGGCCCCAATGAGGTGAATGGGCTTTCCGTGTGATAAGAAAATGGAAGCGGTTTTCTTGCTGCTGCGCTCGCAGCAGTGGTACCCACGTCTGCCCTGCACCCTCTAGGTATTGCCATGCAGCTGGTGGAAACCCGGAGGGGAGTGCAGTACTTCACGTTCAAGCACCATCGCGAGTACCAGCAAGTGCAGTTCAAGTTCTTGGACGCTGTAGAGTCCATGGACCCCAACAACATTGTGGTATGTTGTGAAATTGGGTTGCCCGCGCTGTTACCTCCTGCGGCCCGGCAGCCCCTTTCTCTGGCAGGGGAGGTGGGCTGACGCATTGCAGTCTTGTTTCGGGGAGCAGAGCCCCTGTGCTGCCCCCCTTTGCGTGGGGCGAGGCGGTGTTGCTTGCTCAGCTCTGCTTTCACCTCGTTCGTAAGATAAGCAATCACCTTGGTGCTAACGAGGGGCGGTGGCTGGTGGCCGAGCCTTGGTGGCTCTGCCCGAGAGCACGCCAGGTAGCCATCTGGAAGAGGAGCCTGCAGGAACCGAGCGTGTGGCTGAAAGGATGGGAATAAAGCTCCCTTGTCTCAGCTCTTCAGCTGGGAAAGGGAAAATATTGTATAAACCCATCTTTAAATGGGAATCTAATAGCTGTTCTATTTATAAACTCTTGCATGGATGAAAAATGTGTCTTTTCTTGGTATTTCAGCAAAACGGTCTTTGTGTCGAAAGTTCTTCATGCTTGTCCAAGCTCATTAAACTGTATGGTAACATTTATAGTTGGTAGTGATAAGCAACAGTAAAATTGCTCTGCACCGTACTGAACCATAATTGAGGTATTTTTGCTCTCAAAACCCTGGCCACGTGAGCTCAGAGACATGCCCTGGAGAAGTTTCTTAAAGAGGCCATTGTCGACTAAATAAAGTTTACTTCCTTCTGCTTTCCCACCCTCTGTGCACGGCCGCTGCTCTCTCCAGCTCATCAGTTCTGCCCGCTGAGGGATTCGCATTAAATGATGCGAAGTAATTCCTGTGCAGCAGTGACCAACCTGAGATCCAGCGTCCTAAGGACAGCTCAAACACGGTCTCACGTGGCTGTGCAGAGCAGGACGGGTTTTCCGTGGTATGTTTTAGTCCTTGAGCTCTGTCCCTGTTAAGCGGGTCTGGCTATGTTTGAAGATATTCCTGCCGCTTTTAGTCTTTCAATTTTCCATTAAGGGTAAAAATAAACAGGGGTTTGTGATGCCAGAAGTATTTCAAACCCCCAACCAGTTTGTCAGCCATGGTTTCACGTAGCTGGAGCCCAGATCTGCCTTGCTGCTGTGGTTTCACACGCAAAACATGATTTTTTGTGGGGGTGTCCTGCTCAGTGAGTGTTTTTCTGCTTTTGCCAGTGGGTAAAGGGTTTTGCTGGTGAAGTTATAAGCACACGAACAACGCTTTTTCCCATCACAATGACTGTAAGTCCTCCATCCCTTCCAAAAAGAAGGACTAGAAGGGCAAAGGTACTGGGCTGGGACAGCCTAGGACATAAAGGCTTTGTTCTGTAGGTGAGCATGCTGGCCACTGCCCTGCAGATGTACAGCTGATGAAGCTTCTAAAGTCGTATTTTTTCAGTTTTGGGGGGAAAAAAAAATCTCAAACTTTGAGGAGATTTGGAATAGATTCAAGTACTTCCGCATTGAAACCAGATTTTAGGTACTTGGAGAAAGTAGCCCATTTGTAATACAATTAGTGAATGCAGAGGGTTTTGAGGTGTCGTTAAACTACTATTCTGAAGCCTGGAAAAAAATCTGTTACCATTCAGGAGCTGGATCCTGGACTTGTCACAGATGTGTTAAAACGTCCTCTCTGTACCCAGAGGAAGCAAAAGCCTGAATCGAGTGCTCAGAATTGTTAAGGGATAGAGAATAAAACAAAAATGTCATTATGCCCGCTTCTTGACTATTGTGTGCAGCTCTGGGCCCGCACCTTCAGTCGGGTATGGTGGAGCTGGGAGAGATTCAGAGGAGGACAGCAGAGATGATCAAAGGCCTGGCACGGCCTCTGCGCTGGAAAAGCTGGGTCAGCTGGGAAGGAGGTGCCGGAGGGAAGCTGCAATCCAGGGCTCAGATCCTGCGTGGGGTGGGAAGGGATCTCCTTGCCGTCCTCGCCAGCACGGGGACGAAGCTGGCAGCACGGGATGAAAGGAGGTTCTTCGCACACTCTTCGCATTGTGCGCTTAAGTGTTGGTTTGCCGTATCACAGAGCTGGAGTGCTGGAAAGGTACCTGGGTCAGTAAGCGAACAAATTCAGTGGAGGAGATGCCATTAATGTTGATGGCATCTCTGAGAGTGGGGGTCGCTGAACCCCTAAAGGTTGGCAGCTTGGAGTGTGCTGGGAGCCATCACATGTGCCCAGCTTCGTCCCCTCTTTCCTAGATGTCTGCTCTGGAGGCAGGGCCAGGTGAACCGCTACCCTGACCCAGCGCGACTGTTCTTGGCTTCTTTTGACCCATAGTTTCAGCCTTTTGCGTGAGGTGCGTTCCCCAGCCTTGCGCAACAGCCTGAGCACTGGCTCCCTGATGGTGCGGAACAGGATTCCTTCACCTTCAGACCCAGGGCCAAGAACAGCCCCTCTCTCAGCGCGGTGTCGGGGCACTGGCCTCCCTGCCGTGCTCGCAGGGCTTGCCTGGTAGGCAGAGAAACCCGTCATCTGTGCCGTCCTGTAATCAAGCTCATGCTCTTCTGTAGCCGCTGCTCGAGGCACTGGAGCCGTACCACGTGGACTCCCTCCTGCAGCTCAGCGACGTGTGCCGGATGCAGGAGAACCAGGAGATGGCCCGTGACCTCGTAGGTAAGAGCTGAAGCGAGGAGCGGATGTCCTGGCGCGAATTGGTAACCAAGGGCTTTCAGTTCAGGTTTGGTTTTGTTTCAGCAGAGGAGCAGCGCACCGGAAGGGTTGGTTTGGCTCCATGTCTGTGACTCTGGGCCTTACGTGATCCTGCAGGCCAGCAGCTTTTGCTGGAGGCTTTTAAATAGAGCCAGACATGTTTGGGGCAAAGCACGTTGGCGTTCGCCTTCAAAACAAACAGCAAGATTGTCTGGACGTGGAGGGTCTCACCTGTAGACACCCCATGCAGGAGGAAGGTCTGATTTAGTAGCTACCAGGCCCTGTGGTGCGACGGGCTGCTGCAGGAAGCCCGTGTCCCCTCCGGGCAGCCTGCCTGCACGCGGCGGGTCAGCACGCCGGGCTCTGCCCCTTGGGGCACCACAGGAGGCACCCGGGGATGGCACGATCTAATGCCCGCAGAAGGGGACGAGGCTCGCTTGCCTGGGACCGCACAGTCTGAGGTAGCTTTGTGCCTTGCCAGGCTGCGAACAGGCTTATTTCGTGGCCTGTGGGTGCCAGAGCTCTCAATTATCGATGTCTTCTGGGCTAAACTGACAGGCATTTTGCGAGCGGTGGGACTGTGTGGCGTGCTGGGGCGGTGGCGTGCCCTGACACTGTCCCTGCTGTCTGCAGAGCAGGCGCTGTACAGTCTGGAGTGCTCCTTCCACCCCGTCTTCAGTCTCACCAGTGGGACCTGCAGGCTGGACTACCGGCGGCCGGAGAACAGGTAGGCAGCGCTCCTGCCCGCCCCGCATTTGCCGGAGAGCCGTCGCGGCATGCCCTGGCCCACTTCTGGACGCAGAGACCCAGATTCACAGCGTCTGCTGCATCATCTGCGCCGGCGAGCGGCGGCAGGGGGACCTTGAATGTCCCTTTCTGTCAGAACAGGCTCTGCTGCTGGGTGGGGGTGCCCCTCAGCAAGGCAACGGTGGGGCTCCCGAGATGGGTGCTGGGGTGCAGGCAGCTCCTGCACCGAGCTTTCTTGGCAAAGCATCCTCTTTCCAGAGGGATTTCTTAGTAACTGTTCCTCCCTGTCACTTCCCTCTCATGCGATGAGTACCCCATAGCCCAAAATGGCACGCACTTTTGTCACAAAAATACTCACTGCGTGTTTACAGCTTGTGCTTGCTCGCTTGTGTGCTGCCTGCCCAGCCTTCATCCCCAGCACTCGGCTCTTTATGTAACGACAGCTCTGCAGTTGCGGGGAAAGGTGACTTTATTCTGGGGATTTTCCAGTCAGCTGGCCCAAGTCATCCCTCCCAAACTGCTGTACCTGGAGAGCGCTCGGATTTCCAGTACCCGCTTGCTGACGGGCTTCGTGCCGTCTGGGACCTGAAGGCTGCAATCTGTATCTCGCCCGATTTGGGTGTTAGTCCTCCCCCTGTACGCGTTGTGTGCGTGCTGCATCACCGTCCCCTCGTGACTGGGCGGGCTGGGACCAGGTGGGAAGCAGGCTGGGGAGGTGCTTGTTTCTCTTGTCCCGAGGTCTGCGAGAGCACGAGGCTGCGGGGAGCAGGGATGGAGCAGGCTGCGGGCTTGCTGTCACTATATTTGCACAAAGAGATTAAAATAAAAAGACATGGGAACATGGGGGTGCTGCGGCCCCCCGTGCCACGCCAGGCTGGGTTCCCTTGACCCCCCTGGCTGCACAGTGGCGCTGATGCTCAGGGAAGAGGAGCTGGGGCTGACCGTGGGTCCCCGTTCTTCTCTCCAAACCTGGCTTCTAAAACGTGCTCCTGTTCCCCGTGCAGGGCGTTCTTCCTGGCTCTCTTCAAGCACCTGATGTTCCTGGAGAAGAGAGGCTGTCCCCGGACAGCCCTGGAGTTCTGCAAGCTGATTCTGAGGTAGGTGCCCCTGCCAAGGACTGCACCCCCTTCCCTGCGGGATGGGGCAGGGTGTCTCAGGGGAACACGCCTCGAACAATGCACTGAGCCTAACCTGGGCTGGATAAAAACCCCAGAGGCATCCTACTGCTCCCAGGCACAGCCAGGGCTTCTTTCCGCTCCTTGTAGATGTGATGCCACAGGTTAGCTTTGAGCACGTGCTGCTGTGGAGAGAGGTGATTGTTGAGGAGGAGGCTTGAACAGAGGGACCCGGCTGGCCCTTGCTTTCGGCTGCGGAGCTGTGGGCCTGGCTGGTCTCTGTGCTGTACAACCGTGGCTTCGGGCTGCTCGGTTTGTGGCCGTTGGTCCCCCTCTCCGCTTGCTGAGTCACGGAAGCTCTGGATGCTGCTGGGAAAGTCTTGTTTGACTTAGAAATGAGGACAGCTACTTCAGCTTCTGCGACACTGATTTTGTTTCTTCCCTCTGCAGCCTCGATCCAGAGAACGACCCGCTGTGTGTGCTGCTGCTGATCGATTTTCTGTCCCTCCGAGCTAGAGAATACACCTTCCTGACCCGCATGTTCCAGGAGTGGGAGGTGAGTTGCCAACAGGCGAGAGAGGGGGCAGAGAGGGGAGAGCTGGTTCCTGGGGCACCTTGGCTGGGCATCCCGAAGTCATCGGAACGACCCGTAAAGGCTAGGGTGTTTGTTGTTGTAGTCCTGGTACCCTGCAAACAATCGTACAAACTGCAAATTGCTTGCTCAGTTGTGGGGGCACCAAGCCAGCGGCTGGAAAGTAATTTAATCCAGCAAGCGAGGAACCCCACCCTGCATGCAGCCCAGCCACATCGAGATTGTTCTGCATAGCATCATTTCTCGGTAAATCTGTCTCTCTGATCCTGCAGAGTCACCGGAATTTGTCCCAGCTGCCCAATTTTGCCTTCTCGGTGCCGCTGGCCTATTTCTTCCTGAGCCAGCAGGAGGAGCGCTCGGAGCTGGAGCTAAGCCAAGCCCGGGAGAAAGCCGCCCGGCTCATCCAGCTCGCGTTGATCATGTTCCCAAGCGGTAAGTCTGTCCCCACCGGTAAGTCCATCCCCGCAGGCTTTGTCACTGTCTTCGTCTGTGAGAGCGAAGGCTGGGTTCCAGGCAGCCAAACGCAGAGGCGGCAGTTTGCCTGTGGGTTGCAAATGGCTTTCGCCTCTGTCCGTGGGAGAGGGGAGCCCTGACTCAGAGGGTGACGCAGCTTGTGCAGACCAGCAGAGTCCGAGCGTCTGGCGTGGTGGCGGTGGTGGCAGTCGGCCTTCCCGCCCCGTGACAGAGCCGGCGAGAGAATGGTGGAGCCAGGTAGGGCTCCCTCCTCGTGTTGGGAAGAGATTGGCCACTATTCTCCCTGCTGTGCGCCTTCCTTAGGGTGACGCAGCTTGTGCAGACCAGCAGAGTCCGAGCGTCTGGCGTGGTGGCGGTGGTGGCAATCGGCCTTCCCGCCCCGTGACAGAGCCAGCGAGAGAACGGTGGAGCCGGGTAGGGCTCCCTCCTCGTGTTGGGAAGAGGTCGGCCACTATTCTCCCTGCTGTGCGCCTTCCTTGGAGCAGCTGATGCTCCTTCGTTAGGGACGGTCATAGGTTTGCAAGCAGGGCTGTTGAAAGCGAGCTGTCTGACTTTCTTCTGCAGTTCTTATGCCGCTGTTGGATCACTGCAGTGTGCAGCCCGATGCCAGGGTGGCGTCCCATTCCTTTTTTGGGCTGAATGCTCGGATAAGGTAAGCTCTGGAGATGTTCTCAGTAAAAAGAAGGAATTGATTTTGCCAGTAGCTAGGTTTTTGCTTGCTCAGGCAGCTAATGGAGTTACAAAGCTGCGGAGTAGAAGCTCAGGCAGCTAATGGAGTTACGCATTTGGTTTTCCTGAGTAGGCTGTTGGGTGCTTTGATAATGGATTCCCGTAATGGCCACCAGATCATGCCAATAGACCCACCTCACCTTGATGCGGATAGGTCAGAAGTTCACAGCGAAGCTTGTCAGTGCAGGCAGTAAGAGAAAACAACATGTGTGTGCTCTCAGGGCAGGCTGTCTCCTGCCAGTCTGGATTTCCCCCACACGTGGTCCTCTTAAACACGCGAATGGTCTCCCCCTCGGGTCAAGGCAGCGTTCACTTTCATCTCCTGGCTATGCTTGTCCCAAAAATAGATGGAGGCAGAAAAACTGGTGAAGTTAGATGGAAGTAGTGAAGCAGGGAGCCTCCGGTTCCTCTCTCTGTGTTCTCACACCCAAGCGCAGCGCAGAGACGAGCCCTTGCAGCCAGCACAGGGACCTGCGGGCGGGAAGGAGGAGGTTGCCGTGAAATAACAACTGTTTCCCATAGCCAGCCCCCTGCCTTGAACCAGCTGACGTCCCTCTACGTGGGAAGGACTCACTCCCTGTGGAAGGACCCAGCCGTCATGGCGTGGCTGGAGACCAACGTCCACGAGGTGTTGGCCGTGGTGGATGCCCGGGACCCGCTGGTGGAGGAGTGTGAGCACAAGTGAGTGTGGCAGGTGGAGGCGAGCGGCTCTCGAACGAGGCGTGGGTGCCGAAACATGGGGACAGAGCGGGCCGGGGGGGCTCTGCGGACGAGAGAGGGGCTCTGTCCTGGGCTGCAGCGGTGCTGGGGCTTGCTCAGAGCCCTGTGACCGCTGATCTGATGGCAGCTGCTGATGCCAAGGATCACGCTGCAGGGCCAGGAAGGCAGAGGCTCTTCCTCCATACTTTGCACAAGCGTGAATTAAGAGCTGTAGCTTTTGCTCGCTGGGGAGCGTGTGCTGCGCTGGCTTATCGGCTGTGGCGTGTGCCCTGGAAACGGCCCGGGAGCGTGGAGGGGTTGCTGCTGGGCAGGGACGGCCGCGCGGCTCGCAGGCGTTTACTGCACAGGGAGGGTGAGCGCTCAGAAACACCTTCCGGCCTGAGAAGCAGGAGAGAGAGGCGTTGGGTCTTGGCCTAAACCAAAAACTAGTTTGCTCTGCTGACCTGCAGAGGAACAGGGCCGATGAGATAGATGAGCGCAGTGTCCCTGAGCTGTTCTGCTCTTTCATC